AAACAAGAAAGCGTCATAATACAAGTTCACACGTGTGGTTAAAGTATCGTCAGCTGTGTCTGTAGTGAAAATGTGGAGTGCTTAGATTCGTCATTTACAACAACTACAACAATAAAGGTAAATAATTGTACACTGATATTTCATTATCGTAAACTATGATTGATTGATTAATTGTTAGATTGACACAAAAGTTGAGAAACTGAGTTTATAGGTTATGTCATACTATTGATAAATGTTGATAGTGTTAAGTAAATTATTAGTTTAAAATTAATTAATTAATTAATTATTATTTTACAAATTTTAAATAGTTTCAAATTTATTTAGCAAAAAATTTAAGTTTAAGTTTACATGTACAATGTTTTAGTAAACAAAATATATTTCTATAGTTAAAATTTGTGCAATTCTTATTTTCATTCAATTCCTTGTTCCTATTGTGCAATTTAATTATATTCATATCAATAAATATTCTACCGTTGTCACGTAAAATCTTCGCCCGTAAAACCGACTTTACAGGCAACCATTGTTTATTTTTTCTTCTTTATTTTAATTAACATGATTATTTATTAAAAACAAAACCTCTCTTATGTTTTAAATTTGTTTAAAAAAAAATATTTATAGCTTAAATTTATCTTAATGGTGTTATAATGTATATATTAAAGATTAAATTTTACTATAGTGTTCTCCAGTAGAAGGGACTTATATAAACCTAGAGGTATCAAAAATACTCTCTTATAAAAAGAAACTCATCCCCTGGATGGTTTAATCTTCTTTTTAAATTAAATACAAGGGATTAATTTATTGAATACTAGACGGGTGACCCGGGCTTCGCCCCGGGTTTGACCCGTGTGATATATATTAAGATAATATTTTTTAAATAATTGTTTGTTATATTAGCATTATCTATTTGTTTGCATCAGCATAATTTAATCTAATCTTTGATAGAGGGCGCTGATCGTGAGCTAATTAAAATAATTTGAATATATAGTTTTAATAATTGATTTATATATTTTTTAAAATAGCCTATCGTCTTCCCCGTATTTTTTTTTTGCTATGTATGAAATTTTGGTTTGAATTAGTGAACTACTGCGAATTTGTATACCGAACATACAAACAAACAAACATACAAACATTGATTTTTTTTATATATAGATATGTTATATAAAAATATTATTTTATTTAAAATTATATTTCATAAATTCAAATATTCTGTTAAATCGACCGCCAGAGGTCATGCTTCCCCTATAAAAACTCGTTGTTGTTCTTCCCCGATGGCCGTCTGCATCTCTAGTAGATCATCTAATTATACCAATATACGTTAGATCGTTGGTCACAACAATTTGCTCCTGCCATGGCTCCTAGGAAGAAGAAGAAGAATGCCGAGAAGCCCCTCGTAACCCTCGCCCAACTGGAGATGGAGAACGAAGAGGTGAAGCAGAACTTCGAGCAGAAAATACAGAATCCTTACCCTACCTCCCGATTTTACCTGCTCCAAAGCCTAATGGAATTCATCAACTTACGGTCTGAGCAGATCAAGGCCCTCATTGCCGAGGTAGAGAACCTCTCCGGCACCCTCGCGTCCTTTAAGGAACTGGACAAAATCAAGCCACAGACAGCCTGCCACAGCACTCAAACCAGCCCTTCTCCCTCCTGCAAGGAAACCAGCACTCAGACTGACCCCACCAAGCCCGCCACTCCCGCTCCAACCAAAAGGAAGCAGCCTGAGGCTCCCTACCCGCCCGCAAAGAGGACCAACCTCAATGGTCCCGCAAAACCTGCGCCCTCCCGCGTCCCCAAGCCTGCGGCCGCCCAAGTGGTCCTCCATGGGGAAAAATCGGCGGCCCACACAGTGGTCATCTCTGATGACCCACAGGCTGACCCAAGAGCAATGCTTAAAGCTGTCCGCGCTGCCCACACTCTACCCCAAGGCGTTTGGGCCTCCCTGCGAACCAAAGGGAAGCTTGTCCTCCACTCCAGCAACCCCGATACCATCCCAGCTGTTACCACCTCCCTGGCCAACAAGCTGGATGGCATGAAGGTCCGCCAACAGAAGGTGATCCTGTCTCGCATCTGCCTCTTCAAAGTAGATGAGGAAACATCCAACTCCACCATTGAAGAGACGCTGCTGGAAACCCCTGCTGTCAGCCAACTCCCTGGGGACAAGGTGGTGCGCGTGGCGCATCGCTCTGCACCCAGAAACGGGACCTGCACCGCCTTCATCGAGGTGGACCTCACGACCTTCAGAGCTCTGGGAAATCGTGGAAGGATCGTGGTGGATGGTGTGATCCTCAACTTCGAGGAGTCCATCCGCGCACGAGTCTGCTTCCGCTGTTGTGGCTTCGGCCACAACTCTGCCCAATGCACCAGAGCTCCCACGTGCTTCCACTGCGGTGAAGGCAGCCATGAAGGCCGTGCCTGCCCCTCAGTTGCCGACTGGCACACCTCCAAGTGCGCCAACTGCTGTGCCAAGGGCCTCCCAGACAAGCACGAGGCGAGAGCCTCAAGCTGCCCCATCTTGAAGCTTAGAGCCCTCAAGTTCTAGGCTTCCAGGACCTCCTGCCTCCTCAACTGGCCTCCATCCAGGCTTCTCACCCATCAAGGCGCTGTTTCCTTGACCTCTCCAGCTTCCTCCCCCCTGCGATGACACCTCCACTGCCAGATCCTAGGATCCCTTGCGATGATCCCTGGCCACCCATCCCCAGGCCCCCCAACTATGCTTTGTATATATTCCGCTTTATGCGTCCATCGGGGCTCAAAAATCATTCATTTTGGTTAGCAGCCCCGTAAAATAAAGATATTTTCTCTTCCCCGATGGCCGGCTCAAAATTTTTGTACATTATGTAAATAATCTTTTGTTTTCCTTATTCTACTCGCCTTAAAGCCAGGCATTACTTTTATCAAATTTTATTTATTAAAAAATATATTCCTTTAACTCAATTAAATTACTGATCAAAACTATTTTTCATTATCATACTTTAAAGATTTCAGCCACGACTGCATTAACATAGCATAATTCTCAAGATGATCAAAAATCAACAGAAATCTTATCATAATTATTTTATACAATATATATATTTATTTATTTGTTTTGAAAATAGAGCAATCCATATTTATTTCATTAAATAATAAAAAGGCATATATTGGATTTATCTATATATATAAAATTGAATGTCTGTCTGTACTCTATAGATTCAAAAACCATACATCCAATCGCCGTGAAATTTTGGGATGTAATTAGGTATATCCCCGGGAAGGTTTTTGAAAAATAATTTCATGAATATCTTGAATGTATTTAGAGTTATTTGCAGATTTGTATATTTAACTCGCAAGCAGCGCCCCCATTGCGACGATGAAAACAAGTTTTTTTTATCTATAAGTTTTATTATCACTAAGTTTGTTATCTTAAAGATAATTTATCAAAAGTAAGATTTTCTACCTAATAATTCTTACAAGTCAAAGTTAGTTTTATCATTTATCTACAACATATATATTGGGAGAATAGATAAAATGATGATTTTGTAATGTAGAAAATTAGAAAAGACAAAATTCAGGATGACACGGCAATTTATTTGAGATAAGTTTGTTATCTTAAAGAGATAATTTATCAAAAGTAAGATTTTCTACCTAATAATTCTTACAAGTCAAAGTTAGTTTTATCATTTATCTACAACATATATATTGGGAGAATAGATAAAATGATGATTTTGTAATGTAGAAAATTAGAAAAGACAAAATTCAGGATGACACGGCAATTTATTTGAGATAAGTTTGTTATCTTAAAGATAATTTATCAAAAGTAAGATTTTCTACCTAATAATTCTTACAAGTCAAAGTTAGTTTTATCATTTATCTACAAATTGGGAGAATATATAAAATGATGATTTTGTAATGTAGAAAATTAGAAAAGACAAAATTCAGGATGACACGGCAATTTATTTGAGACAAGAATAATGATAATTAATATTGATTTTATTCAACTTATCGAGTATTTTTCAAGGGACCGGGAAAAAATTTTCAATTTATCGAGATATTCAAATTTACGAGTTTCAAATTATCAAAATATATCTCTTTTTTTTTTTTATAAGTTTATTATCTTAAATATTATCTATCAAAAGTAAGATTTCTACCTATTAAATGCGCACAAGTCAAAATTAGTTTTATCATTAATCTACAACATATATATTGGGAGAATTGATTATTTATCAAAAGTAAATGGTTTTGTTTACAAACAATATGTGTATTCAATATGGTGGTCAATAGTCAAATAATCTGGTTTTTTTTTTTAAATTAAATAATAGAATTTTTTTAATTATATAAAAATTAATTTAGTAAACAAAATATTGATTTTTTCAAAAATTTTCGAAATAAATTTAAATATATAAGAATTTTTTTTTGTTATTGTAATTTTTAGTAAACAAAAAATATTAGAAAAATATATTTAGCTATATATATCTTTGGCAATAATATTTGCCCCTCAATGCATTAGGAAAGACAAAATTCAGGATGACACGGCACACAGGGACCGGGAAAAAATGTTCACTTTATCGAGAGATTCAAATTTACGAGTTTCAAATTATCAAAATATATCTTTTTTTTTTTTTAAATAAGTTTTTAGAGAATTGTTTTAACAAATGTTCGCTAAACAAACCTTTACTCGGGTAAAACCCCGGGCGAAGCCGAGTACGTTTTATAAGTTTATAGAGAATTGTTTTAACAAATGTTCGTTAGACAAACATTCACTCGGGTAAAACCTCGGGCGAAGCCGGGTACATCCGCTAGTATATAATAAAATATAATATTAATAAATAGTGTATACAAAAATGCCTCTATAAAGATTGGCGTTCAGTGTTGTAAAACGACATTTGAAAATTATACCGCATGTGTTTCTTTTCAACGAAAAATCAAATTATATTTTAAGGAGAAATAACGATTATTTCTAACTTTAGGGATGAAGTATGAAAGGATGAATTGTGAAGAGTAATGACAAATGGAAAAATAAAAGTGTCCAGGGATGGGAAACTAACCCACAGTGTTCCGCTTACCGGGCAGATGCCATGTCCACTAGGCTACCCTGGACATATTTTTCCGTTCGTAAATAATACATAAAGTAACATATATTTATAGCTAAAATATCTACTTGACTTCTCTATTAAACTTTTAGATATATTTTAGCAGGTTTATTTATTATTTAGATAATGTATATGTCATAATTTGTATAGTTAATTCCAAGAGATATAATTTATTTTCGTCAAAATGAGTATGTAAATATGTAACGCTTGTGTTAAAATGTAAATATGTAAATTCATCCATCTATAAAAGCTGTACAAAAAATAAAGGTGGCAGACATCGCGGGTGCGCTGTTCGCTAGGCATAACGGCTGCGCCTCTTCATTTAGCTACGACATATATTTATTTAGTTAACACCTCCACCACCAGGTTCCTGGAGCCTACAGAAGTCGCTAACCATCAAAGAGAATATACATGTAGATATTTATCTTGTATAAATATATTTATTCAAAATAATTAAGGCATATCCTGACCAAAAACACATGTGCTTTTTAGATTGCAGAACGCCATCTAGTGGAACAGAAATCAACTAAACATTAATTTAACCTGTTCCCTGATATTTGGTCAACCCAATTTCCTGATAAATAAAAAAAATCATCCACGAATATATATTAATATAACTATTTTAAAACATATTTTAGAAAAATAGGTTTTCTACACATACACGTTTTCTATGCTACCTATGATAGGAGCTCTGATGTAATTATCGTTCCTATTCAAAATATTGCAATAAAAATGACCGTGTTTATGACACAAAGTACTCTTACAACTTGACCTTATTGCTTCCTCTATGTCCACAGAATGTGCAGGTGTATAAAAAAATCACTTCTGTTGTAGTTTGTCTTATCTGCTAAGGAAAGAAGGAGATGTGGTCTCAATGACATTATAAATTTGCGATATCCTTTCCTTTAAAAAAAATATATATATGAAAAATATTTTTGGTCGTTGAGGTACAGCTTGCACCACGCTGATGAGGGCCAACAGCCCGAAACGCGTCCGTGGTTAGCTTTTTCTTGATTAATCAAGAATGGGTATTTGGCCAATTCTGGAATAATTAAAAATCAAGGAGAATAGTTGATATTTATTCCGATAGATGACGCAAGCCATCAGCAACTTTCAGTTGCGCGATAAGGAGATGCCTTTTTTCTTAATATATATATATATATATAACAAGAGGTTCAACGACATCTAACACCGTGTTACACGTATCAACACGGCTACAGTGGGTGCGATAGCGTTTAAAGTCGACATCAAGTAGTACGTGAATCATCCGCTAACAATCAACCAACCATTTATCTGTTCCTAACTAAAAACTCTTTCTATGACCTCGGGGTGATCAATCTGGGATGAAGCACCTTTGTAAAAAAGCTGCCCGCTGGTGATTACCCTTTAAATTAATATTTAAACTAAAACTAACAATGATTAATTAGCCTGGGCTTTGTGTTTTCTTAATTATACGGCCTGATTAACATTGTAAAATGTGGCCAGAGAGCGCGGACAAAAAGGTTTTCTCGGCCGCATCGATCTCTAATTGTTGCTCCACATTCAGCGAGGTCGGGCGAGCGGGCGGCTGGCGAGTTTCAACTTTCTCATATTGAATTATCCTCACTCTTCTTGCAATAAATAGGACCTGGAGTCTGTCGTATCATACATGAATTATCAGCCAATCAGAAAAGCAGCGGGTATCGAGCGTGCTGTGGAAGCCTAATTGCCCCGAGCTTAAGCCCTGGTCAGTCGTCTGATTCGTCTTTAATTGGCCAGTGGCCGGGTAATGGGGATTTGATCGGGGAGGGATAAATTGACCGCAGCTAGGGGACATTGGGGGAAAAACAACCTCAGGCATTCTAGCCATAGTCCTCTGAATTGTTGATTCTCTACTATCAACAACCTCGCAACTCAGTCCTGAAACTTTAATTGGATCAGTTCTTCAAATAACCAAGCCGTTTATTAATATTTCAAAGGACACCTCGGCCAGATGAAAAACTTTATTTTACAACGTTTCAGTGAAATATGACCCCTTCTTGTCAGGGGTGAAACAAATTCAATCTTTAGAAGAAGTTATAAAATATTTGAAATATTTGAATATAGTCAAAATGTCGAATATAAACAGCCATCATTAATGTAAGCCATTTATTGATGTGCTTGAAGTTTATCTTTTGTTTTTATAAAAACGGCTTAGACTTTATTGAAATAGTTTTATACCAGGAATTAAATTTATTGATAATATTTTATAAAATTTCAATTTTAAAATTGTATTATATTACTCCTGAATTTGAGCTATGATTCTTACCATTCTTGTGTGCTAGGTTTGTGTAAAGGCTGCGACAGGATCGGTTACACTGTGCCCTGACAGACCCAATTCTTTAGATTTAGTTTCTACTGAAAACTCTCAGCACATATTACCCTATTTAGCAGAGTTTTCAACTAAGTATTACTCTCAATATGTTAGAAATGTGTTCATCTTATTCTCGCGGAAAAGCCGGCGTTGACGGCGATGTCTGGCCAACAATGGACGCCAGATAATGGCCCGTTGGAAGAAAGGCGAGCGCGACGAGCCAAGGAAACAATGGACTTGGAAAAGGAGGCCATCCTGATTTTTGTGGTCCACGGATCGTTGGCGGGTAACGATGTATTCAAATGACAAGGAAGTAATGGGCCGACCCCGGCAGTGTCAGAAAACACAGCGATGGATCGTTCCTCTCACTAACATTTTCTGATAAAATATATAAAGTACTGTACAACAGAGCTTTCCATGAGAGACCATAGCTTAAAAACTCTTTCAGTTTATGCTGGAGATGGTCTCTTATCGTAGACTCTTTCACACTAAGGACAGTAGGATGTTTCTCTTATTTGAAAGATAAAAACTCATGTTTAATAGTTTCATTTCGTATATTTAGATGGCGCAGTGTTTAACTATTGCCTAACTGTCTTTGTTTGAATTGTTTGCGGAAGAGCATTGTTTGGTGCACAATTCACATTTAATTCTACTAACCTCAAAGCTTATTCACATTATTGGATTAAATACACCATAACCAGATTCAACCCTTCAATGTAGGCTATAAAAGCAGAATCGCCCAATACAATAGTAAAGCTATAAAAACGGTAGTTTAAACTAGCGAAACCGCTGAGAGGTTTCATCATTGATGATTTTTTTTATCGTAGTAAGGACAGTAGGAAGTTTGTCTTATTTGAAAAAGAAACATTCGCGTGTTTAATAGTTCCATTTCGTGTAACAGAAACTCTATCATGTCGGACCAAATCATGAGGAGTCTTTTTACCGAAACAGAATCTCTGATTACAGACCACCATAAGAAGAGACTGAGTTAAGCCATGTTCTCAGGCTATGGTCTCTCATGGGAGACTGACTCTACTGTAGGTTTATTTTGCGCCACACAAAAAGCCTTTCTCTATTCTTAATACAATTTCACCGGTTAGTCTATTATACCGATAAGCATACCGTTTAAAGGAAATGAAGCTCGAGTTGAAGAGATCTCCTATCTAAAATAGGATGTTTATTCTTCCTATAGGTTTTCTATAATTTTTCTAAAAATTATAAAATGGAAGGAATCAAAATAGACATTTTTGGAGACCAATCTTTAGAAGAAACAAGGGTTGGAGTATATAGTCCCCCCCCCCCAAAAAAAAAAAAAAAAACACACTACTGAAGTGATAGCAGGTTTCTTGAAGCTTCAGCATCAATAAATTCTGCCATTTAAGGCGATTGTTACTCTCAATGATTTAATCTTTCTTTCAACCAATAAACTGATTTCTTCCTTGTTCTCCAACAAAACCAATTCTTTCTTTTAATCTCAAGAGAGCATGTTAACATATATCCTACTAGCTGGGATGGATTATTATTTTATCTAGATATAATAAGAAAAATATTCCCGAATGGGGCGATTTTTTATGGAAAATATTTTCTGTTATTTCAGTAAATATCTTGAGATTATTTATTGAACTTCTTTAAGAGCCGCGGGGGATGGCTGACATCGTTTATCGGATTAAATATACGAAATAATAAATATTATTTATTCCCATCAGAAACATGCAGTTGTACCGTTAGTAGATGCCCTTTTGCTCAAATTTATCACCTGAACCTGTACATCTTCCTCTTTTTTTTTCATTAAAATAATAGGTAACATGTCGGGGTCGGTGGAAGGGTGGTCTAAACCGTTGGTTTTCGAACGCTACGACCCGGGATTGAATCCCGCATTGGACACTTTTTTCTCATTTGAAAAAATTCTGATTGAAATAAGAAATTGCTCCAATGGCCCCTAATTGTTGTAAAAGTCCAACTCCACCAAAGAGTGCAAATAACCAAACTGGGCTCTGGCACATTTGTAAGTGCAAAGTCTAACTGCTTGCATATGTGTATGCATGTGGTGCACTTACAGTAAAAGCAGTCGCCTACTTCTATCCGCCATGATTATCATGGCCTGTACTACGTGTACTTGAGATAAGCAAAAAAAGGGAACATGTGTATTAATATATAATATGTAACATGTTCGCAGACATGTAAATGAAAAGTGAAATTATTTTATTAGTTGCACACACATATATGCAGGAGAGTAAAAATAAAGTCGAACTATCTTTTAAAACCTCGAGATGTTCGGACATTATGTTGAATCCATTGATTTCTCTGTTATGGGAATGATTCATCACAAGAGAATTCTCACACATTCAACTATTACAGTTGGATCGTGATTGTCAACGCTGTTTTTATGGAACCAGAACTTGGACTTTAAACACGTATTGGAGTAGTTTCAAAAACAACAAAAATCTTTAATCATTTACATAATGTATTAGCTCGCCATCTATCATCAAGAAATGCAACTATTCCCAGACGCTATAGTTTATTATTTTAAAATATTTGTATCTACTGCATAAAGCATATGTCCATTAAAATAGAGAATTTAAGTGCCGGACATATAAGCAGAAATGTCAAATGCCATAGAAGAGAGCGGTGGTTTGAAAGATTGAACTGCTGGAAGCACTGATGTTTTTCTAACC